CCTCAGAACAAGCATGCCAACATGAGGTACTCTATAATTGTTTCTTCAAGGAATACATTATTTCTGTTGGAAAGTTGATGGGAGATGATTATATTCTTGCAGTTTTTCCCCTCTCACCGTGTTTCTAGGTTGGTGATCAGTCCTCTGTCAATTCTCTACTGCACTCAGATATTTCAGAAAACTTTCAGATGTGAGAAAGGCTGATTGCTATTTTCTATGTCATTAGAACTTTAGACCTTTCCACCTTTTTCTTGGATTTTATCTTTTTCTCAGTGTCTGTGGTGGCAGCCATGAATCAGACCCTGCCTGCCAGGTCTCCACGCCCGGGAACCTGATTGACAGAAGGCCCAGGTCAGTGCATTTCAAATTCACCACCTCCTTTGCACAGAAAGCTTTCTTCCCACAGGCTCCCAGCATGTTTGTGAAAGCAATCCTAGTTCTCTCAGGCTCTCTTTGCTTTGTGGGTGACTGGTTGGAGGATTCCCTATCAGCCTTTCAAAAATTCTCTTAGAACTGCATTGATACCTAAAACTTCTTATCTTTTACACGAGTCAGCTTTTATAGTGGTCCTGTGAGTTCTCCATACTACCTTCATGCCTGCCCCACATTCCACACCACGGTGTCTTCCATGATAGATTATCTCATATATCCAGGCGTCAACAGGATGCATCTCAGTTGAGTAAAAAGTAACATACCAGTCTTGATTCTTTGCACTTAGCTTTTTTTCCTTTCTCTCCACAAGTAGTCAGTCACCATGTCCTAGCGTTTTATATGGTACCTCTTTTCTATATATATGTGGAAATAAGGTACTGTTCAGAGGCAAATCCTATGTGCCAGGTCCTGTACTAAATACTTTACCTGTACCTCATTTAGTTCACACAGTAACCTGTCGGTAGACATTATTTCCATTTTGTAATGAGCTAGCTTAGAGTATGTAAAGTCTCTCTTTGGTGTCATATGGCTAGTAATAGGTGGATCTGAGATTTGATTCTAGGACTATTGACCTCAAGGCTAATGATGATGGAAGTAATACAACATTTGACATTGGATTCGTCTGTGTGCTTGGCATCTTGTTTCATTGACTACATGAAACCTTTAAAAGATAGTATGAGCAAGCTCCTTTCTACCACTTGAGATATGAAGAGAACAAACTAAACCGAGCACAGTGATTGAAGGACACAATACGTTGAGTGGATAAAATAAAATGGAGAATGGAAAAAGAATGAGGAAATTTGTAGAGCAGGTTGATTCTTTAAGTAAAATCAACAAAATTGACAACCATTAACTAGACTGACTAAGAAAAAAGAAGATTAAAATTGCAAAATCAGAAATGAAAATGGAGTCCGAGCATGGTGGTCATCTCTTAATCCTAGCATTTTGGGGAAGGTCACAATGGGAGGATTTCTTGAGGTCAGTGTTTGACCAGCATAGGTAACCATGGAGACCACTCCTCTACAAAAAAACTTAAAAACCAATTAGCTGGGTATGGAGGCATGCATCTGTAATCCTAGTATCTTGGGAGGCTGAAGAAGGAGAATAGCTTGAGCCCAGGAGATAGAGGCTGCAGTAAGCCATAATCACGCCACTGTATTTCAGCCTGGGCTGGCCTACAAAGTGAGAGCCTGTCTCTCTCTCTCAAAAAAAAAAAAAAAGAAAAAAAGAAAAAAAAACAAGTGAAGTAAAGCAATGATTACTACCAATTCTAATAAAATAATGATTATGAAAGTACTGTAAATAATTGTATGCCAATAAATTGGATAACCTGATAAAATAGATAAATTCCTAGAAAAACACAAAATATGAATAGAACTATAATTAGTAATAAGATTGAATCAGTAAAAGCATTTGATGAAATTCAGTATTTTTTGTAATAAAAAAAGCATTCTAACTAAGAATGGAAGGGAAACCACCTCAACATAAAGGTAATACGGGAAAAACCCAATGCTAACATCATACTCTGTGGAGAAAGACTGAAAGGTTTCCCTGTATGAGCAGGAACAAGACAAGGATGCTGCTTTTGATACTTCTATTCAATGTAATATTGAAGGTTTAGTCAGAAAAATTAGGTAAGATTTTTAAAAAAAAGACATTCAAATTGGAAGAAAGGAGTAAAAATTAATCTGTTTGTAGATAACTTGAACTTATATGAAAATCTAAAGATGGAACAAACCTATTAGAATTAATAAATGAATTCAGTAATGTTCCACAATACAAAATCAACGTTCAAACATCAGTCGTATTTCAATACACTAACAATGAACAATGTGAAGGGAAGTTAAGAAAAACAATTTAATTTGTATTAATACCAAAAAGAATAATATACTTAGGAATAAGTTTAACCAAAGAGGTGAAATGATTATACCTGAAATCCATAAAATATTACTTAATGATGACATCAATAAAATGAAGACATTTGTTTCCATGAAATAGAAGACTCACTGTTGTTAGGACAGTGCTACCCAAAGTGAGCTACAGATTCAATACAATTCCTTCAGAATCTCAGTGACATTTTTACAGTAAAAGAAAAATCCGTCCTAAAATTTATATTAAATCTCATGACTATAAATAGACAAACAACTTTGAAGAGGAACAATGAGGCTGGAGGACTCACACTTCCTGATCTCAGCATTTACTACAAAGCCCCAGTAACCAATACGGTACTGGTACTGGCATAAAGGGACGTAGAAATTAATGAGATAGAACAGAGAGCCCAGAAAGAAATTCTTACACATATGGCCAAATGATTTTCATCGACTGTGCCAAGATCGTTCAATGGGGAAAGGACAGTGTTCTCACCAAATGATATTAGAGGAAAGCTGGATATCAAAGGGCAAGAATGAGTGAATACACACCTAACATCATATACAAAAATTAACCCACAATAGCTCAAAGATCTAAATGTAAGAGCAAAATCTATACAACTCTTAAAAGAAAACATAGGAGAAAACCTTCATGATATTGGATTTCACAATGATTTCTTGGCTGTAACAACAAAAGCATAGGCAACAAATAAAATGGATAAATTGAACTTCGCAAAATCAAATCTTATATATTGAAGAACATTATCAAAAGAAAGTAAAAGGCAACCCATGAAATGAAAAATAATTGCAAATTATGAGTGTGAAAAGAAATTAATTTCCAGAATACATAGAAAAACTACAAATCCAACAACAGCAAATATCCAGAAACCCAATTAAAAAATGAACAACGATTAAAATAGAGTTTTCTCAAGGAAGATATGCAAATATCCAATAAGCCCATACTGCAGAATTCCTCAATCATGAATACATTAGAATGTGCAAATCAAAACCACAATGTGACACCACTTCACACACTTTAGGATGGCTTTGATAAACAACAAGCGCAGCAACAACACAAAACAACAAGTGTTTTCAAATAGATGAAAAATTGGAGCTCTAGTGCATTGCTGATGGGAATGAAAAATGTTATACCCACTGTAAAAAGTGGTGTGGCTGTTCTCAAGAATTAATAAATTACCATTCGACCCAGCAATTCCACTTCTGGACATACTGCCTATAGAATGGAAGGAAATTTGAACAAATATTTGCACATTGATGTTCAGAGAAGCATTACTCACAATAGCCAAAAAATGGAAACAACAGAAAAGTCCATTGAAAGATAAGTGGGTAGGCCAAATGAGGTATATGTATACATCAAAATGTTATTCAAACTTAACAAGGAATAAAATTCCAATATATAAATTACCAAAGTGGATGAACCTTAAGACATTATGCTCACTGATATAAGCCAGACACAAAGGATAATTATTCTATAATTCCATTTTATAAAAGATAGAATAGCCAGTTACATAGAGACAGAAAGTAGAATGGTATGTGCTAAGGCATAGGGGAGAAGAAGTAGAGAGTTACTGTTTTATAGGGTATAGAGGTTTAATATGGTAAAGGAAAAAGCTCTGGAAATGGATAGCGTGATGGTTACACAACACTAAATTGCACATTTAGAAATAGTTAATGATAAGTCTTAATATTAATACATATAAAGTGTCCTGGTAGTCTTACACTCTATAAATACACACTTTTTTCATTGCCCCTTTCCTGCCATGAAGAGCCCCAGAAGTGAATCTCACTATTTCTCCAAGTGTGCATCACTCACTGTCCTCTGTGCTGTGTCCCACATGCAGTGCCCACAGCCTCATACAGCCGGTGACTTCAGAGCCAGGACACAACTCCAGAGAGTCTGCCCAGGGTTCCTCTCTTTAGCAATTCCCTGCAACCTGGGCTTCACTTCAACTGGCAGCTCGATTTAGCTGAATTCAGAACAGGCCACCAGGGCTCTTTCCTCCCATACATGCTGGTCTCACCCCAGGTGGAGTCAGGCAGGGCCAGTCACCAGAGAAGCCGGAGCAGAGAGAGCAGTCTGAGCTGCTCCTCCCTCATCAAGGGCTTCCTCCTCTCATTGGGGAAAAATGTAGGCTTGTTGAAGCAGGAGGCTTCAAAACCTCAGATGTTCCCTGTAGCTCATGGAGTAGGTAAAAGAAAACAAAGACGTGGTGGACAGGGATGTGTGGCTGACAGCAAGAAGCAACTTGATCTTGAGGACTCTCCTTGTCCCTCTGTGAAGCCTCTTCCACCACATAGGGCTCAGGGCTGACAAAGCCCCCTCCCTACCTTTCTCAGGCTGGACACAAGGTCAACCATGAGAAAACAGAAAAACAAGGAGAAAAGAGTCTGTAGAGACAAATTGGGAGGGTTCAGGAGGAGAATTTAGGATTTGCTTCTACCTATGGGGCACAGGCTGGGAATAAAAATGTTTTCCTAGCTCTTCTCTGAAAGCCAGATAGACTCCACCTAAAACACTGTTGACAATGATGCAGGGATCCACTTACCTAAGACTTTGATCCTCCTGAATCTGTAACGTTCCCTGCCAGTGGCTGAGTTACGAGCAGCGCAACGATAGATCCCACTATGCTCTGTAGTAATTTGGGATAGAGGCTCTGATCCTGATTGCAGAAATTTCCATTAACCGTCCAGAATACTCTGCCGGTGGGTTAGAGTCATGAAGCAGGACAAGTAGAGGTTGTTCTGAATCGTAGGTAGTTGCAGGCAAAACCAAGGGGGCGTCTGGACCATCTAGAGTAAAGAGAGAATAAAGCCACAGGTGATGTTGTCGAGAGGATACTCCTGGTCTCTTAAAGGGACACAGTGTCCTCTGAGTCAAGGCAGCACCCTCAAGGCCCAGCCAAAACCCTTCTGTCTTCACTGAGACAAGGCCTGAGGTATTCACCTGTTCCCTCCCCCATCACAGGCTGTAGACCCCAAGTCTCCCATGATGAGCAGCCCCTCCCCTTATATTCTTGGTTAAGGCTGTGCCTGCCCAGATTTCCCAGGGCAGAGGGAGTCATGGCCACCCTCGTGTGTCCAGAAATAAAATGTCTGTACTTGAACCTGAGAGACTGAGATGCCTGGCCTCTGGTTGTTTGGATTTTAGCTGGTGGCCTGGCCACAAACATACAAAGGACATCTGGGTGACTGGGTCACTGCAGATGCTACCCAACTTTCGGTCCCATATTTCACATTCATAGGGTCCTGTGTCATTTCTTGTGACATTGGTTAGAATAAGGATCCTGTTTTTACCGGGTTCATGGCCTAGGGACTGACAGGAGAGGCTCTGACCGTTTACCCTCCACAAGTAGGTGTAGCCCTGAGTCTTAGGTTCACAGGTTAAGGCTACAACATTCTTATTCTCCATGGGGTTGAAGTTGTTGCTGGTGATGTAAGGCTTGGGCAGCTCCGCTGTGTGGATAACAGAGATTTTCCTGTGTGGCACCTTTGATTCCTCCACAGGCATCCTTCAATCAGAGTTAACATCTCCCACCTCTCAGCCACCGAGTCCTTGAAAGTCAATAGCTGGTGCGTGTGTCACAAGACAGATGCATGATGATCTAAGGGCTCAAAGACTGTGAGGCCACCTGCTCTGTCTTAGGGAAGCACAGATTTTCTCAAGTGTGAATTCATCAGCAGTGTTGGGTCATGGACAGACACTTCAGTGAGTCCACAGCCCCTGGTACCCCTACCAGTCCTCTCCAATGAACTGACTGGCTGGCTCACCTTGGGTTCCTTACCTGGAATGTGCAACTGCTGAATCCCTTCCAAATTCCATCCTACTTTTGCCCCCTAGTGTGATTTCTCTACGGCTTCCATTTCCAAGGACATTCTAGAGATGAGTAATAATGGGACTTCCCATTGTCCTGAAACCCTGAAGATACTGAGCAGCCTGGCCTGGGACTGGATGTTTCCATGAAAGAGAAGACAGGAGACTAAAGTCAAACTGGAGGTCAGTTCAGTCATCAGGCCTTGAAGGCACAAGGTGGGGCAGTTTTTTGCAGGTGTTTCATGATGACTTACTTGAGCCAGTGACCTCCAAAAGATGGGCAAATTGCAAGGAATGATCTAGAAAAGTAGAGGGACAGACAGAGCTGAGTGACCCTGGAGCAGAACCATGTTCCTGTTCTGGGTTCTTTAAGTTTCCTCTCCTTCTGCAGAGGGCAGGTGAGGACTATGTGGATCTTTCCAGAAATACATGTGGATATTTGCAAATGCAGAACTGACTGGTGGAAAGGGTGGGAATGAACTGCTGGAAATCTGGTCCTCATGGACCATGTATGTTGATGGATATGAGACAAATTTGGGGAGAAGTTTTGGAAATATTTTGTTGGCACCTCTACTCTCTGATTCCATGGGTTTGGCTTCTCTAGGGACCTCATGGAAGTGAATTCTAGAGTGAATCTGAGAAGAGACTGCTGGTTGCCAGGAGCTGGGAGTGGGGAGAATCAGAAGTTGTTCATGGGTGTGCAGTTTCAGTTATGCCACGACAGGGAGGTTCCTAGAGATCTACTGTACAGCTCGAAACCTACAGTTCACACAGATTGAGTGTTTCTTATGCATAAGGCTTAGGACAAAAAGTGTTTTGGATTTCTGACATTTCTTGATTCTGAACTATTTGTCATATGCCTCGTTTAGCATCCCAAATCTGAAGGATTCAAAATCTAAAATGCTCCAGTGAACATTTCTTTTCAACATCAGATTACTATGCCAAAGTGGGAGGTGATAGGCCAAATACATTCCTGCCCTTTTTTTTCTCTCACCATGATTGTAGCTCGGTAATTAGTTTTGAGTCAGTTCCCTTACTGCCCAAGCTGCCTCATATTTTGAAGGCTTTGGGATGTGAGAGGGGCTGAGTGCTACTTTCTATGTCATGAAAACTTTCCGACTTTTCATGGTTGTATCTTTTTCTCAGTAACTCTGTTGTGGCCATCATTAATAAGAGCCTGTCAGGTCAGATTTAATACAGATTTTTGTAATTCTGCAAAAATTGTTACTGGGATCGGAGTAGGGGTGCATTGAATCTGCAGCTCACTTTGGGTAATGTGTGCCATCCTAACAATATTGATTTTCCAATCCATGAAAGTGAAATATCTTTCCATATATTGATGTCATCTTTAATTTCTTTCAGTAATGTTTTGGAGTTATCAGGGTATAACCCTTTGACCTCTTTCGTTAAACTTATTCCAAAATATTTTATTCCTTTTGATGTTAATGTGAATTGAAATTCTTTTCTTAATTTCCTTTCAGATTGTTCACTGTTAGTGTATAGTCTAAAGAATGATCTAGAAAGAGTCAAAGGGACAGGCAAAAGCTGGTGGTTTTGAAGCAGAAACATATTCCCTGTCCTGGGTTTTTGATTTTCCCTCTCCCTTAGCAGAGGGCAGGTGGCTCTTCCCTGATAGGCAGATAGACTTCACTGGAAAACATATTGCCAGTGCTCCAGGGATCCACTTACAAGGGACTACGATCCTTTTTATTATGAGATTTGTCCTGGCCCGGCTGAGTTATGGATGAAACAGACATAGACCCTGTATGTTTAGTGATCTGGGGATAAAGAACACTTGTGCTTTGATTGCTGGAACATCCCATCAATCAGCCAAGAATACTCTGCCAGTGAGTGAGAGTCTGTGAGGCAGGAGAGCTTGGGGACTTCCCATGTGTGCTAATAGGTGTGCGAAGAAATGGTGGGGGCATCCAGGCCATCTGGAGCAAAGAGAATAAAGCTGGCACAGTGTTGTCAGAAGGAAGGAAAATCTGGTCTGTGGAGAGGGCCTGATGACCCTGTGAGCTAAGTCACAACACTGAACTCCCAGCCAAATCCCTGCTGTGTTCACTGATCTGGAGCCTGAGACATTCACCTGTTTTCCCATCGTGACTGTGGACCCTGAGTCTCCCATGACAGGAGCAGCCTCTTCTCTCCCATTGGTGATCAAGCCAAAGACTAGTCTTAGTAGTCATGGTCAGCTTTGATATCCAGGGGTAAAGGTCTCTGTACTTGCACCTGAGAGGGACTGGGAGGCCTGGTCTCTGGTCATGTATTTTGGGATGGCAGCCTGGCTCACAGAGAAACAGAAGATACTCACAGAGGAGATTCAGGGTGACTGGGTCACTGCGGCTGGAACTCACTGGGTTCTTCATTTCACATTCATAGGGTCCTGCAGTATCCTTTGTGACACCAAATAGACTGAGGGTCCTGTTGTTTTCGGACAGCTGCAACTTGCGACTGATAGGGAGGCTCTGACCATTTATCCACCACGGTAGCCCCAAGTCTGAGTGTCAGGATCACAGGATAAGATCACAGTCTCAGCACCCCCTTGGGGGTTTAAGTTTGCTGCTGGAGATGTAGGGCAGGAATATCCACTGTGCAGATAACAGAAAGGTGCCCTGTGTGGCACCTTTGATTCCTCCAAAGACATTTTTCAATCAGAGATGACATTTCCCACCTCTCAGCCCACCCAAGTCCCTAAAAGCCCAAGGCAGGTGTGTGTGTTACAAGACAGATGCATGGCAATCTGAGGGCTCAGAGATTGTGAGGCTGCCTGTTTTATGTGGGAGAAGCACAGATTTTCTCAAGTGAGAATTGAGGCAGCAGCATTGGTCATGGAAAGACACATGACCAGCAGTCACAGCCCTGGTGCCTCTCTGAGTCCTTCCCTCTTCAACTGCCTGCCTGGCCCACCCTGTGGTCCTCACCTGCAGCATGCAGTGCTGGAATCTTCTTAGTTTCAGTCTTACTTTGTGTGTCCCAAGGTATGTTTTCTCTGCAGTTTCCTTTCAAAGGACATCCTAGAGATGGATGATGGAACTTCCCATTGTCCTTAAACCCTTTGGGTACTGGGAAGCCTAGCCTGGACTGGGTACTTCAGCAGAAATAACACAGGAGACAGAGTCAAGCCTGGAGGTCAGTTCAAGTCATCAGGCAGTGGAGCCACAAGGTGGGGCGGTTTCCCAGCTGTCTCATAGTGACTGACTTGAGCCAGTGACCTCTAAAGATAGAGCAGAGTCCAAGGAATGACCTACAAAGAGTGAAGGGGACAGGCAAGGCTGATAGCTTTGCTTGGACCAAGACCATGTTCCCTGTTCTGTGTCCATGATGTTTCCCTTCCCCTGTAGAAGGCAGGTGAGGACCAATGTGGATCTTTCTAGAAATACATGAGGATGTTTGCAAATGCGGAACTGACTGGTGGAAAGAGCGAACATGAACTGATGGTGGAAGTCTGGCCCCATGGACCATATGTGTTTGGTGGCTATTAGAACAATATTTGGGAAGAAGTCTTGCAGATGCTTTCTCTCATTAGACGTTCAATTTTTGAAGTTCTATGAGTTTGACTACTCCATGAACCTCATCTCACTGGATTCCAGAGTGAATCAGAGAGTAGAATAGTAATTTCCAGGAGCTGGGGTCAGGGGAATAGGGCATTGTTCCATGGCTGTGTGGTTTCAGTTAGGCAGGTTGAGGATGTTCTAGAGATCTCTGTAGCTTCATGCCTATAGTTCATGCGATAAAGTGTTCCTTATACAGAAAGTTTAAAACCAAGTGTTTGGATTTCTAACTTTTTTTTTTTTTTTTGGGGGAATATTTGCAGTAGATATACTGGGTCAGCATCCCACATCTGAAAAATTTAAAATCCAAAATGCTCCAGTGACACTTCTTTTAGCATCACATCAGCGGTTAGAAGTGTTGGATTTAGACATTTCAGATTTTGAATTTCCGGTTTGGGATACTCAATTTGTAATACTGCAATTTTCCCGAAAAAGTTCTCTGGAGTTTAGACCTCATGTTATGTTCTGACTCTAGTAACAAAAAAAAAAAAAAAAAAAAAAAAAAAAATTGGAGAGGAAACATTAAAATGTTGTCATAAGTGAAATTTTTACTGATGGTCCAAACATCTAAGATCAATTGCTGGTAAGGAGTATTTCTCTTGACACCCAATTAAGGTTTAGGTGTGGGATGAATTCCAGCAGGATCACATAATGCTCAAAGAAAGATACCAGCAGTGATTTGAAATTAGCAACTCCTTAAGTAGAGAGAATCCCGTTAAAAGGACAGAACTGGTCAGTGTGTCAATTACATAAAGGAGAATGATGCGAATTAAAAGAAGTGATGTGTGTTATGTTAGTAAATATAGAAGGAACTTCTCTCATTCCTTAATTTCTGTGCAGAGTTAAAGGAAAAAGTAGGAGGAGCCCAGAATAGGTATGTGAGATGCTTACTTGTTTTCTATTCACCTCAGAAAGACCCCAACTCGAGTTTCAGTTTGTGTGGATAAAAGGGAAGAGTCTAGGAAGTGGGAGGACGCCAATGGCTCATGTGTCCCCAACAGAAAGACCCCACCTTATGAAAATGGCATCATCCTTGGGGAAACAGTTGTATGCTGGCACAGGCAGTAAAACCACCAGATAGCACCCACTGACACTGCAGCAACTCCCCGAAACCACCAGTATTCCCATTCGTGTATTTTTTAGAGCCTTGGTAGTAATCCTTTCTGAAAGTTTAAATTGTCAATACAAAATGTTGAATGTAGAAGTAGAACATGTCGTTCCACTTTTTTTTCCCCCACACTTTTTGAAACTTTCCTGTTTCACTTTTGGAAGTTTCTGTTGACACATCCTCAAGCTAGGGATTCTTTCCTCAGCTGTGTGGGTCTGAAAGCATCCAGCTTCCTCATTTCTCTAACAGCTCTTTTTTTTTTTTTCTGAGATGAGTCTCGCTCTGCTGTTATCCAGGTTGGAGGTACTGGCATGATCTTGGCTCACTGCAAGCTCCGCCTCCCTGGACAGGCCTCTTCTGCCTCAGCCTCCCGAGAGCTGGGACTACAGGCGCCTGACACCACGCCTGGCTAGATTTCTTTGTATTTTAGTAGAGACGGGAGTTTCACCGTGTTTTAGCCAAGGATTAGTCTCCAGATCCTCCTGACACTTGTGATTTGCCCGCCTCAGACTCCCAAAGTGCTGGGATTACAGATGTGAGCCACTGTGCTGGCCATCTCTGAGGATTTTAATGAGTTGTTGACTTTTGAGATTGTTCAGCTTTTTACTTACTGTTAGAACCGAGTGACAAATTTCAAGTTTCTTATATACCTGTTAGGAAAGCAGAAGTCTCTAGGAAGTGACTGGAATGTGAGCTCACAGTAGGTTGAGGATGGGTCCCCACGAGAGTGAAATGGAGTGGGAAATCAGCCCATGGGCTTTGGGGGGCCATGAAGCCTGCCCAGCCTCTGACCACCTGGTGAGAGTCAGTACAAAGATTACAACAGTAACAGCAAACTGGCATGGCTGACTCCATCTGGCATCTAGTCTCAGGCTGGCTGTCCTCACTCATTCCTGGACATAGGCCAGGCTAACCATGGGAGAATTTGAGTCTGTCAGCCCAACTTTGAAGCAAGAATAATGCCAGTTCCTCCTGCTAATTCATATTTTGCCCAGGGAGTTGCCTTTGTAAAACTGGTGAAAGACCATGAGACTAAGATTATAGGAGGGAACTGAATTCTGTTAAAATGGAAAGCACAGTTTATAATCCCTTACTGCTCAAATGTCATTTGGCCAGAGTTTACAAAATTTGTAACTCATTGCTCCTCTAGATAACATCACTATTGTAGAACCTGAGATTGGTCTTCTGAGATGTTTCTCATTCTTTGCATTCTGGTAACCCACTGACCTCATCCATACCCATGACTAATGGCCCAGCCAGTCACATGGTCCCCACCTAGAGTCAGATTCGAGCACAAACAGATCATTTCCCTCCGCCCGCATGATTCCATCCCCAAACAATCAGCAGTACATATTTTTAGTCACTGTGCCCCTGAAACTATCCTTGAAAATCTCTAACCCCTGATCCACTAGGGAGGCTGATTTGAGTAACCAATAAACCTCCATCCTCCTGTTTGGCAGACTTGGAGTCATTAAAATCTTCATTTACTGCAAATCACCATCTGGATAAATTGGTTTTGTTTGTGCAGGAGGCCAGAAGAACTTGTCTAGGAATTATAGAGTGGATGGAGGAGCTGTCTATCCTGTTCCATGGTCTTCTCCACAGATCCAGCCTCACAAAGGGAAAGAGCCTGGGTGGGGATACGGTGGAAGCTCATTCTCTTAGCGACCTGGGGACATTGGCTTGTGATGAAGCCTGGCAGGAGTGCAACTCAAGGTGATTTCTGTGGCTTTCCTATTCTCTGGGAGTGGGTCAGGCCACAGTGTTAGCAGGAAGGGAACAGAACAGTCAGCCTAGTTAGAGGGAGTGTCTGGCCGAGGCCACAAGGGTGGAGGAAGAAGCTGTGAAGGACAGGGTTGCCAGTTAGAATGAAGTGGGAGGAAGATGAGGGACACAGAGAGAAGCAGAGAGAGAGGCAGAGACAGCATGGCAGTGAACAGTGGGGGCTACAGTGACTTCAGAGACCCCAGGACCAGGTACCCCAGAAAACCCTTCAGTGACCAAAAGGCTTCAGAGTTATACATGAGGTGGGGTGGCTTTAGGGGCAGAGGTAGTGGGGCATGAAACATGGGTGTCAGCCTCTGAAGGACAAAGGGACAGGTGTGGCTAGAACTTCCTAGGATTCTGCATCCAAGATTCAGCCTCTAAAGAGGTTATGGATCATTCATTTCTTCATTCAATTCCTTCATTTGTTATGTGAGAGCTCCTGAGTGTGTGTCTCTCACTGGGCCTGTGCTGGTGCAGGGCGTGAGTGGGGAACGGAAACAAGGTCCTCTCCTTTATCCTGTTATGCCAGTGACATGGACACTTTGGTAAACAGGATTTCGGAGTTCAGTGATAGGAGTTAAGATCTGAGGGGAGGCCTGGACATATTTTTGCACTGACTCTGACAGTTGAGGCAGGTGATTTAGTTCTGGAGTACAGACCAATCAGCTGACCATTTGCTCTCACTCCTCTGAGGTTTGGATGCCGAAGATGAGAGGATTTGAGCCAATAAATGACTATGGGGTCCTTGGAATCCAATAAGCCCTCACTTCTGGTGGAGAGGCATGGGCCTGTGGCTGCAGACAGACCTTATGTGACCCTGATCTGCCTTTTGTTTTTGTGTGACTCTGGTTCGGTATTTCCAATAGTTCCTGTGCCTCAGTTTTCTCTCCAGTCAAATAAGCTAAATGGCAAATGGACTGTGGCTTTTCATGCTATTGGTGAATAAATTGTAAATTCTTCACAGTCGCCGGACCTAATCACTTGGCACAGTGGGAGGTGTTCACACAAACAGCATTTATTATTATTCACTTTCATGAGAGAGCACCTTTAGGTCAGATCCCTGGACAAAGCTGCTGCCAGTACATTTCTATCTTCTGTTTCTGCTTCTGGGGACATGAGACTTTCTATGGAGTGTCCTAAGCCTCATAAAGCAGTTGGCTGATGGCCTAAAAAGCTTGTCTTTCTGTCTCTCCACTCTGGAGTCTCAGGTGAAGAAAGCTCTGTCCTTGCCCAGATGAGGCTCTGAGGCTAAGCCCTGAGGCAGTGAGCAGTTTCAGGAGACAGAGTCCTCAGACAGCTGTTAAATCCTTAGTCCCAGTAAGCCCTGCCACAACCCAGCCCTGGCACAGGCTCCTCAGCTTTATCTGGAGTAGGGTTAGGGACAGAGTCTGGGGTTTGAGGCTTCTAGGGCTGAGCTTCTCTGGAGAGTATCTCAGGGGGCTTCTTAGAAGGCAAAAAGCCCTACTCAGTTCTCCAGGGTCTTTCTCAGGGTCAAGTTTATAGAGAAGAGGACACTTAGAGGTGCTTGGCTGAGACCAGTCTCCTCCTGCTGAAGCACCCCCTCCCCATCAGACTGTCCTTCCTGTGCAGCAAGTGTCTGCAGGGTCTGGAGGCAGAAAAGGAATTCTGATCTGTTGAAGTTTGTCTCCTCTGTGTGTGTCCTGCACTAAATGCCAAAACCCCAACATGGGACATAGCGAGAGGGACACAGGCACAGTCAGGCCTGACCATCCTGTCTGTGTGCAAGTAGAAGTGACCCCCACCCCCAACACCCAGGGATCATGTGGAATCACTCACCGTATAAGGTGAAATGTCCAGTTACTCCTTTAGTCTCATCACCTTGCTTTATGATTTCTATGGTGTAGGATCCTGTGTCCTTCTGGGTGACATTCTGGATCAGCAGGGATGCATTGGAATATACAGCTATAGTCCACTGTATACAGGCCCAACTGTAATATTTTTGCACTGTCTATTGCATATGCTATAATGAACTGATGGTAGTTCGTTATTTGCCCTTTGAACCAGACGTAGCCAGTAAGATTCTGGGGCAAATTCTGGACAAGTAGAAGAATATCTTTCCCCTCGGAAACTTTGGTTGGCTGGGCTTCAATCGTGACTTGGGCAGTGGTGGGCGGGTTCCAGAAGATGAACAGTAATACTAGGAGGTGGAGAGAGTATCAGTCAATATTGAGACCTATGTATTGGGGTGAAAAAGATGAGGCCCTGGGTACTGAGAAGATCTCTTCAATCATCAACCTTGAAGACACACACATACACACACACACGCCCATTTTGTGTGTGTGTGTTACTATTGTTTGTGTCCTACTGTCCCTACTTAGTCAACATCAGTGGCACGACCCTCATTCCTTCAATGCTTCTGACCTCGGCATTTTTCTCTTTGGAATCCTCTTCCCCAGAGGTCTGCACGGCTCCCTCCACACTGCCCTCAGGTACTGCTCACATCAAGGACATCCTTTAGACTTCTTTCCTGACACCTCCTTCAGAGATCCTAGGTCTTCCCTTTCTGACCTTTCCTACTCTGCTCCCTCCGGAACTCTTGTCAACACCTGACCTCACATTCTAGATCTCTTTGCTTGTCTGTCTTCCTCCCCGCTTGAGGCGTGAGTTCCGTGAGGGCAGGAAGACTTTGTGATCTTGGTTGCACCCCAGTGCCTCAGAGGAGCTGCAGACTCCTGTACATGTGAGAGGGCCCTCCATGCCCGGGGTGTTTTGTTTGGTTTTCTTCTTTGTTTCCCCAGTTGTTGAGGTTTTTTGCTGTGGACAATGTTTCATGCCCTGCTTATATGTTCATTTGAAGTGTCATCTGATAATAGTTATTATTATCATTTTTCAAAATGTGGTGACCAGTGATGATCAACCAGCAAAACAGAACACTTGAGATTTTCCTACCTCTTACCAATTCCCAGTTCAATGTGATTTTCCTGTTTTGACCCCTATCCCTCTCTGGTATATTTTCCCTATCCAGGCTCATGATGCCTTCTTTCCTTTTTTTTTTTTTTTTTTTTTTGAGACGGAGTCTCGTTCTGTCACCAGGCTGGAGTGCAGTGGCGCGATCTCGGCTCACTGTAATCTCTGCCTCTCAGGTTCATGCAATTCTCCTGCCTCAAATTCCCCAGTAGCTAGGATTACAGGAGCACACCACCACACCTGCTAATTTTTTGTATTTTTAGTAGAGACTGGGCTTCACTGTGTTGAGCAGACTGCCCTTGAACTCGTGACCTCATGATCCACCCACCTCAGCCTTCTCAAAAGTGCTGGCTTATTTTATTTTTAGAACCCCATCCTCTCCAGGAGACCCCATCCAATCATTCTTGCTTCCTCCTCTGTCCTCTCCCAGAAAGTTCTCTCCTCACCCCTGTGAGCAGGAGCTCCTTCCAGGTGATGTCGTGTGCAGGAGGCGCTGACAGGAGCCCCATGACTTGTGCCGCCCGCGTGTTCTCCTCAGCAGAGATGAGCCTGAGATCCAGAAACTTTCTGAGCACAGCTGTCAGCTGTGCTGTCCTTCCTCCTTCTGTGCTGAGCCTCTTCCCGGGGCAGGAGCACTTCTCAGGCTCATGGGTGGGGTCTGTTCCCAGGGCATCTCTCCTCCCTCCCTCTCAGTCCTGCCTCCTTGTCCCTCCTTCTTTTTCCTTTTGTCTGTATATCAGATCCCGGGAATTGTGGAGGCCTCTGTCTTTTCAGCACTGATTCTGTCACCAAACCTCGCACACACTGTGTGCAAACACAAACACACACAAAGAGGCACGCACAGACACACACAGTCACACACATACCCTGTAGGTTGGGCAAGCACAGTCCTGGGCCTCAGCCTCCTGCTGTCCCCCTTGGCTCTGGAGTCGCGTGCACATTCACGCCCTTTGCCCTCTTCAATCCCATCTGGCTCTCCCCTTCAGTGAAGGAGGCTGGAGCTCTACAGTCCGTGTCACAGGGACACCCCATTGTGCTGTGGGTGAGCTGTGTGTTGTGTCTGGTGAGGAGGGACCTCGCCTCTCTAATTGTGTCTCGCGGCTGCAGATTCAAAGATGGACATTGAGGACCTGGGTGTCCCAGAGGAGACTGTCCTTCCTGGAGGTGTGCAGGGTGAATCTCTCATGCCTCATGTGAGGAGAGGCCTGTGCTGGATGCTCGGTGGGGGCTGTGAGTCCACACGGTCAAGGTCAGTTCTCCAGTCACTCTGTTGCTCCCTGGGGACTGGTGACTGAGCTGGGGCCTCAGGGTTTCTCATTTCTTCCTGACCATCTTGGTGTCATCTCTCTTCTCTGCCCATCTGATTGACCCGTGGTGGTGCAGGAGAGTGGGGAGTTACCCAGGAACCCGTGGAAGATGGTTCCTTGAGACACGAAGGAGAGCCTGGGACAGAGCAGGGGTTCAGAGCTGGAGAGATTCATCCCGACTTACTCAAGTAGTCGTGATAGGCTCAGCCCTCCATGTGCAGCTGTCAGGGTCTGTCCTGGGTTTCACCGGCCAAGATGTTTTCTGCAGAGGAGGAACAGGCAGTCACCAGAGAGCCTGTCTGGAGGGCGTTCTCAAACCTGAGAAGGCGGGTGGGGTGGGATTGTGCCAAGGCAATATCCCCCTTCTCCTGGCAGGGACACAGGAGATGTCTGTCTTCCCAAGGGACAGCCAGGGGCAGGTGGCTACATACTATGTGAATTGCCTGTGTGTGATCATCATACGGGCTCCCCAGGCTCCACGGGTGCAGCGGGCAGGCAGGTCACAGGGTGCCTGACTGATTCCCGGGAGGCTGTGGGCCCTCAGGCAGCCGCTGTTCTGTGTCAGCGCTAGGCTTGGCCTAGGATGCCCCACAGAACAGGACAGATGGAGCGTGGACGGGCATTTAGGGAGCAGTGACAGAAAGACTTGCGAGGATGGAAGGAGGTCACGGGGAAAGCAGCGAGTGTGGCCTCGCGTGCACCAAGCTGCCCTGGGAGATGTCTGTTTAACTGAGCCCAGGAAAGGAGCAGGTGTGTGGGGCAGGAGCTGCCTGCAGAGGGAGTGGTGTTGAGTTGGCTGACCCATGGTCACGCGGAGGAACTGACAGAATCCCTGTGGGGAGTATGGAACACGTTGAGGACTTGGGCCGAGGTGACCCTGGTGAGGGTGGACCCTGCTTGGCTACAGGTTCTGCTGAGGGAGATCAGCATCCCCTGGGAAGGCTCAGGCTGGAGGGACTCTGATGCCTCTGGTGGACTGGAAGGGAGTGTGGGTGGCAGGGAAGTCCCAGGCTAGGCTGCATGTTTTTATTCCACAAGGATCTGCACGTTTCAGTAAAAGGAGTCACACATATGCTATGTTACGGCTCCATCCCCTTCCAGCCCCGTGAGTCCCAGTCTCTGTGGCTCTACGTTCACTGATACTCCCTCTTTCACGATCCTATGTCCCAGACGCAGATTTTCGTCACCTTCTGTGAGTTTCTGGGTGTGTGCAGTAGAATTGCTTTTTCTTGTATACCTGGGGACAAGCGGTGTCTGGGAACAACCTGCACATGGGCTTGGGAACAGAGAGACGGAGCAGCAGGCGGGAGGATCAATGTCAGGAGCAGGGACAAGTCCTTCTCGTTTCTCACTCCCAGGAACCAGAACCCAGGATTACAGGTCAGGGCGCAATGCCACACCCTGCTGGTGTCCTGGATGCTCATGTGACGCTCATAGTGTCATGCTGCCTTGGCATTCATTTTTAAGGTGTAAATTTATTTGCCTCACATCCAGAGGCAGTGCCCATCCTGTGGCACTTTTCAATACTGTATCTGGTTCAAGTGACTGCAGTTGGTGGCCAGCGATAAAATCTAAGAGGCATCTCTCCTGCTTGGTGAGCTGGGCTCCTCTCCCCTCCATCTCTTTCTTTAAACTTATATTCTGACATTTGCCACCCATTTCAGGCAGCCACTTCTCAATCACAGCATGATCTCCTGGTCCCAGTGTTTGCTGCTTGCCTTAAACACATCCATTAAAGCTCCTGTTGAAACCTGTCAGACAACGTGAACACTAAAGACATTGGCTTACTAGTCTCTTCTCTCACTCCTGCCTGGGCTCACTGACCTCTGTATCTGTGGTCTCCAGGTGTGCCCAGTGCTCCCCAGTGTCTCTAGAAGTAGTAAAACACTTACACTTTCCACATTGTGGTTCTATCATTAGCCTCACATGCCATCCAGGGCCTGACGTAAGAGCTGCCCTGTGGGACCTGTGCTGGTTGAACCCCTGCTGGACCTCTTGTTTTGGGACCTGCAGTTCTTCTGGGGACAGGAGCTTCCAGCTAACTTGACTGAAAAAGTGATACGTTTCATGGAAAACACTGGGTCAGATAGCTGATATTCATGAAGTTCAGCTGCCATAACAAACACCTTAGCCTGGGTGAATTAAATAATAAATCTATTTTCACAGTTCTGTGAATAATGTGCTGTTTTAACACTTTAAAATGTGCAATCAAATGCAATTAACCACAAACACAGTGTTAAGTTACCATCACCACTATTTTCTGAAAATTCTTATCATTTTAAACTGAAGAAACTTTGTATCTTGAAACTATAATAACTCCCTGTATTTTTTCCACCTAGACCTTGATCATCTCTACTCTGTCTCTGTGGTACCCTGTCTTGATGTTTCATATAAATGGAATTATATATATATATATGTTATTTAGTGTCTGACATATTTGCCCAGCATAATGTTTCAAGTCATGCATCTTCCAGCGGATGTCAGAGCTTATTCCTCTTTCATGACAGATTAACATTCTCTTATATGTATGACCACATTTGTTTATTCATGTGCTGATGAAACACTTGTAAGTTGTTTTCATATTTTCTCTTTTTGTGAGTAATGCTACAATCAACATTCCCATGCAGTACCTCTTTCAGTCCTTGGATTCAATTCTTTGGATATATACCTAGAGATGGATGCTGCCTGTAAATTCAGATTAGCTTCTTGAGAACAGCACAACTATTTCTCCTGAGTGGCTGGTTTCATAATCTCACCAGCAATACTCTTGGGGATTCCAAATTCTACATAAAGACTCACTTGTTATTTGCGTTTGGAAATGAATGAGCGCCATATTTGTAGGTTTAGTGTGGGATCCATTGTGGCTTTAACTTTATATTTTCCTAATGACTAATGATGTTGAGTTTCTTTTCGTGTCCCTCTTGATGATTTACCGTCTTGGAAGAAATGTCCATTTCGTCCTTTGCCCATTTATATAAATTGGGGAGGTTTGTCTCTTTGTTATTGAGTTGTAGCAGTTCTTTATATATTCTGGGCCTTGAAACCATTGTCTCTGTGATTTGCAACTGTTATGTCTCATTCTGTGTTTGGTCTTTTTATTTTCTTGATAATACCCTTTGATGCACAAAAGGCTTGCATCTTTAGCCCAATTTATCTATTTTTCCTTTTTCTTTCTCATGCATTTGGGTCATTCCTGAGAATCCATTGCACATTTGAGGTCATTAAGTTTTTCCCTATGTCTTTCTAAGATGTTTTGTAGTTATAGATCTTATAATTAACTCACTCATCCCTTTTTAGATAAGTGTTGATATGGTTGGAAGCATAGTTCTCTAAGTTTGATGATTTGCATGTGGTTATCTACTTGTTTTTGCACCATTATTTGAGAGGATGATTGTTCCACCATTAAATTATCTTGAAACCCTTATGCAAGAGCAATGAACCATGGGGTGAGAGATTATTTTCTAGACTCTCAATTCTATCCTTTGGTCACTATTTCTTTTTTTATACCCAGCAGCTTCTGTTTTTAGTACCTGTAATGTTTTGTGAAATTTCAAAGACGAAAGTTCAAGTTCTGCAATTTATTTTGGCAAAATTGTTTTGGCTCTTTCAGGGAATTACTTTTTAGCAGCAAGGCCCAATGTTTTGCAATTGGAAAGCTTTTCTGTCATATTTTGCAGGGAATTTTGCAGTCCTGGGATCTTTTCAGAACTTTATCACAAGTAGGTAAATTATCACCACTTCCTTTTAACACAGAGTACTGGGTTAAAATGTATTTGCCTCCTGTTGAGAATTGAGAGACCCTGGAAGAACTTGCTTATGTGGTGAGAGACAGTGAGCTCCTTAATAAGGGGCACAGAAGACATTCTTTAGGACACAATGTTTGTCAAGAGGGAGCTGTGTCGTCTCTAATTCTTTATTTTTCTGCAGTTTAGATCTCTGCTGGGCTCACTAGATATTGAAATCTTTGTTGATTCTCTTGGTTCTGGTTTGGCTGACCTGTCAGCTGGAGCTGGAGGACATGCCTGGAAGGGGAGTGACCCCCATGGGAAGAGCAGGGCTGTAGGTAAGCAGCTGGGACAGAGAAGCCAGTGAGGTCTGACTCTTAAAAGCCAAAGACCAGCAGGTGGGTGTCCTCAGGGGCAAATGGACTGCACTGGTACCCATTCAAGCAGACTGGAGAAAGGTAAGAGGCTTTGGATATTCCGTTTCTCTCTCAGCAGCTCTTCAGCAGGAGATTTAGGCCCTGGGCTGGTACTACCCTGCAGCAGAGGCAGGGTGGACACAAATGCCTGCATATCGGGCGAAAGTCCATGTCATCTCTAGGCATTACCACTGAAGATGGGGGTACATTTCAGACTCCCAGCCCAGGGGCATGGGAGGAACCACCTTATTAAAATTAATTTAAGAAACAGTATGTGCTCTTCTTCTAGAATAATTATTAATGTCATGTTTTACTATATATCTTTTAAAGGAATGGTAAATCTCTACACAATGTATGTTTTAGGTTGTCCTTTCTATAATTTGCAGCTTTCACAGTTCTTATAGAATCCATTTTCTTTGGGAACACACAGGCAGTATCTCTGTGTTGATTTCTACTGGGAAATCTTTATGCAGGGTGCAGAGAGTCACATTTCCTAATGAGAGGTGGAAAGCATCTGATTACCAGAAAAAGTGTCCAAATTCTCCTGGTATGATGTGGTGCTGCAGGTGGAGGTCAGTTTAAGGAGGATTCAGGCAAAGCAATTTTGAAAGTCTTTTTCATTGTTTCTGTTTTTTGTTTGTTTTGTGTTTTGTTTTTTTGTTTTTTGCAAAACCATGGGCAGAAGCCACCACCTGGAACACACCGTTGGAATGGATGAGGACAGAAATGGAGCTCACTAAATTGAGAATGAAATTCAGGAGTGGGGAAGAGGTTTGAGAGGTCAACGGGTGTGAGAGGTGAATGGGTGAATGATGAGAATGTTCAAAACATCTTCTTTCTCCATAATAAAGAGCATTTGGGCCCCTGAGTCAGACAGTGTCCAGGCCAGGGAGCAGTATGTTGTCAGCTCTCTCCTGGGCAAAAGTGAGACTCCAGCAGTGTCCAGTTACCTCATCCAGTTTGGGATTTATTCCTATTTTTAAAGTGATCCAACAGTATACCATTTGGAAAATATACAAAAATCTCTGTGCTACCATTCATAGATAGACAAGATGGCCCTAAGATGGTGAGAGAATCAGAATGGGGTTTGGGTTTACATTGTGTATTTTTTTCTCCCAATATCTACAGAATTCCCTACATCAATTTTTAATGTAACCAGGGGAGTGTCATTCCCTTTCACAGTACAGACATTTCCAGTTCACGGTTAAAACCCTGGAAAACCCACCCTTTCTGCTGTAGGTGGTAGCCATGTGGCATCACCGCTAAACATGCCTTCTGGGACATCAAATTGCTGATTAAATAAAAAGTCATTTCAGTAGATATTGAAGACCTCCATTTTACCCCTCTCACACTTGTAATTCTTCTACCAAGAGGTGATGGATTTTAGTGGTGATTTGCTTTTATAGATTAGTGTAGATTAATGCTTCGGCCAGGGTAAAATTTTTCATTGGGAAAAGCATTTGGCAAAGTCTGGAGACATTGCTGGTTGTCAGAGCTGGGGGAGGGAGTCCTGCTGGCCTTGAGTGGGTAGAGTCCCCAGATAGTGTTGAACATTCTAGACCTCACAGAGCCCCACCAGCATGACCACTACAAAGTTCAATGCTGAGGAGGAGTGGAGAACCTGATGTACCTCCCTAACTTCCCTGGAGCTTTTACCTTCTCCT